TTTGAAACTACATGAAAAACTAACCATGAAGAAGAGAGGAGTACACTTGCTGCTGATCTTCATCCTGACTCAGCGTCTGCTCATTAGCAGCACCTTCATTAAAAATGTAAAATTAGATGTTTGTTTTATGTTGTTGTGGATTATACATTCTTGTGAACAGTTTGCATTTTATGACTCAATGCTGCATCTGTGTATTTAATCATTTAAGATATAAAATATGTAATATTAGAAGAAAAATATGAAAATCTCACCTTTGAACTTTTTACAGCAATACAACAAGAGCAGGATGAAAATAAATGTAATTCCAGAAATTGTTCCAATGCTTATCAGAATAGGAAATGAAGAGATTTCAGGACTCGGGACATCTACTGTGGATAAGAAACATACGTTTTAAACTGAACCTAAGTTATAAGTTAAAAAAAGTTAAATAATATATTATAAACTCACCCTTTGTATCAATGCTGACTGACTGGCTGTCCTCTGTGTAGTAAACTGGGTTTCCTCTTCCTCCTCTGCACCTGTAGAGTCCTTCCTGTGAGACACTGATTTGTCCATTGGAGTGGAAAACTGCATCTTGTGTGGTCAGAGGTTCAGAGGAGTTCTCATCTCTGTACCAGTAGTATTTCCATCCAGATGATGATGAGTTCACAGAGCAGGTCAGGGTCACACTGCCCCCTACTGGAATGTCTCTCATATCAGAAGTTATTTGGGCCTTTGGTTGATCTGCTGTTGAGTCTAAACAAAGACAGAAAGAAAATATGAATATATACCCCACACACAGGCTGGGATCACACCAGTCTGATGTAATCTGCATGTGTCTGTATGTTTTTGGGAATAAACTTGCTCTCCAGTTTCCAACAACACATAGGAAGGAATAAGAGCAAACTGAAATGGTATGAGTGCTCTTACAGAGGCCGATAATGCATTTTATTCTTTTAGTGTTTATTTTTTTCTGTTTCATTATGATTCTTCTCTGGATTTATAAAAGAGTACCACAACAGAAGACACAGAACTTCTTACTAATGGAAGTTTATAATCCCCAGACTAGTAGTAGTCCAACTAGTAGCTGCACAGAGAAATTTGAAATAGGAACACTTTATTCATTTTTAATTTCAGACTCTCATAAAGCATTTTCATTTGTTTACATTATTTGCTCATGGCAACAGTTTGCTTTGATTAGGAAATACTCTTCTTCCTACATGATCAGAAGAAACACATCAATATATTTCTCTGTATCTATAAACTTCCTGTTGCAAAAATACACACTAATATCAAAAAGTCACACATCACTGTTCGTTCCATCAATACAACAAAATGCAATGATTTATCTACCACTGTTCTTAAATGAAGTCTTTGAAAGCATCAATTTCCTGACAAAAAGAGAAAGAAGAAAAATCTTCAACAGTAATGCAACTGAACAAGGAAAATATTGCATTACTTCTTGTAACTCCATTAATCACAAAGACAACCAGTAATTAAAAAAAATATATAAATCTTACTATCTATTATAAAAAGGATAATGTAATATGGTTAATATGCTACATCTTCACCCCACACATTCTGTCCACTTTGTATTTCCACAGACATCACCTCAGTGTTTGTTTGTAATAATAATTTTTCCACCTTGTCAGTTTTTTTTCTGTTTATGTATTTCTGTCATTATTGTCCTCAGGTGATGGAGCAGCAGGTCAGCATTGGCGTCTCTATACCAGCTGAAAGTTCATGACACAAAGTGGTGACAAACTGTCTACAATGAGGCTACTATCAGCTGCAGCTCTTTGTCTGACTAACAATGTAACATGCTTTGTAGACCATTGAATTCATCCTGTGCGGACCATGATGACATTTGTCAAATGGAGATCACACAACTGTGACAAAGTGGAGAAGCAGTTGTAATTCTCTCCATTTGTCCCATATGTGTTTACCTTTTTTTTGCACATTGTACACATTATTCTGTTTCTATGTATTTGCTATGATTTGCTATTTGTCAAGTAACATTACTTCACTCACTATCCCGGGTTTGTTTGTGTAAGTGTTTTGTTGCCGGCAAATCAAACATTCTGCAAATTAAGACAAATACTAAGTTATGTTTCTTTATACTTTATTATGTTACAGATTAAGTCATTTGTTCATACTTACTTTGTTTGTCTTTTCAGTCATCATGAGTGTCAGGTGTGGGGAAACGCCCGCCTGGCTTTTCCTCATTTTAAAGTCCTGATCATGTCACACATGACATCATCAGGTCAAACCAAGTGGAGGGGTTTCTTTTTCCAGAGAGATGCTTCCTTTTGTTTGTGTTAATGTTTAAAGGGATTTGTTGAATGTTTTTCCTTTTGTTAATACTGCCATTTAGTTGTGTAAATGTGCATATTAGAAGTGTGTAGAGGTTTTGTGTTTTTAGATAATCTGTGTAGAGTTTTAGATCCCTCAGTTGAGTGAGTGGTACTGGCTGGGCAATTGGAGGGAAATTGATGGCCCTATTTAAAGCCAGTCTCTACCAGATGCAGGAGAGAGGAGAGGTGAGCCATGGCACCAGAGCCATGGCATGTTGAGTTTTGTTAAATGAATTGATTTGGGGTAAGTTTTGTTAAGTTACATTAAAATTAAGTTCACTGTAAATAAATTGCTCACCTTGGAAACCTAAAATGTCTGCATAGTCTGCTTCCCTACCACCTTCCTTGACATTCGAGTCTGACTACTTCACAACAACAAACATGACTTACTTGATGCTGACAATGTGAAGGCTTCACTCCACTCTGTTGAAGAATATGAGTCATCTCTGCGTCGACTCTTACACATGTAGCCTCCACTGCTGGACTCAGAAACTCTGAATGTCACATCATTATTGTGTGTCCACTGTGTGGGTGTCCTGGGTCCTCTCCATTCATACTCCCACTCAGTGGTTTCACCTCCTTCCTGCACCTCACATGTCAGAGTGATCGTCTCACCTCTGAATATCTGAGGCCAGTTGGGTTGTTGTTTTACAACAACTTTATTGGAAACTGTTTACACATATTAACAGTTGAGATACAAATAGAAACATGAAATCAACACAGAAAACTTCACACTGTATGTTTGATAATCATGAGTGAATGTATATTTCAAACTAAATTACTGAACTCACTGGTTTTCTCAATGGTGACATGATCACTTATATCAGTGTAGTAAACTGGGTTTCCTCTTGTTCCTCTGCAGCTGTAGATTCCTCCTTGAGATACTCTGATATCTCTGTTTTGTTGATCTCTGATTTGAACTTCAGAGGTTGTTTGGGTTCGTCTGAACCACTCATATTTCCATCCATCAGAGGTCTGCACAGAGCAGGTCAGTGTCACACTGCCCCCTACTGGTATGATTGTTGTTCCTGCTGTCAGTGTGGCCCTGGGTTTACCTTCTGTTATCAAAAAGACGAAAAGAAAACACAAAGCCATTGAACAACATTTTAAAATATGCTTTCATTTTATTTAAATTCCAACTTCCAAGAAGAGATGTCTTTGCTGAGCACGCATCATTCTCAGGGACTCCTCTCATCCTGCCATTAAACTCTTCCAGCTCCTCCCCTTCAGCTGACGCTACCGGACCCTACAGACTAAAACCAGCAGGTTTATGAACAGCTTCTTCCCCACTGCTGTCACCTTACTGAACTCAGTCCCCTGCTGAACCTTTCCATCCACACCCACTTATCCCTCCTAATGACCATGATCATGACTGTCATTCATTCTCAACATTCAGAATATGCTTACATTGGTTACTGCTATAGTTTAGGACACTGAATCAGTATAGTCTCTGGTATAGTGCGTACACTGTTCACTATTATAGTCTGTTCAGAGCGCTACGCTTCCACTGTGAATATATTCATAGCACTTTGTAGATCTGTTTACCATATGTAGCACATCTGTATATATTTAGCAAAACTTTATATTTGTTCATAGTACATCTGTATTTCTGCCCATCTGTATAGCAATACAGAACATCTGTATACTATATAGATCATCTGTATATCTGTACATATGTCTGTAGGTCATCTGTATATTTGCTCTCTCTGTATATAATCTGTTCATAACTATCCCACCATTTATTTATACTACCCTTATCTGTATATAATTGCTCCTATTTTTAAGCACTTACTACTCTTGCACTCTAAACAGATGCAAACTGTATTTCCTTAACCTGTATTTATAGATGTGTAGTGACAATAAAGTTGAATGCTAATCCTAATTAAATTTATTTTTTTAATATAGTTTAAGATCATTTTAATTTTTTCTGACATAGTAAGAGAGCTACAATATTGAGGTTAGTCAGGTAATTCAGGTTGTAGATCTCTAAATAAGCACATTTCAAATGTTTGTCCATTCTTTGGCCTGAAGAAGTCACACTGAATGTAAACTAATGAAGTTCACTGTTGAAGGAAACACACTGATGGGTTCAGAGGGATCTGCCTGGTTTCACATTTAGACAACAGAAACATCGTCACCTTAAATTATATGGATCTTTTGATGTTTCTTTTTTTCATTATTTAAATTAAGTTTCATCCACAGTTATTCTTGTTATACAGTAAAACATACACATGCTGTAATGACATATTGTCTGAGTATTTTGGTTGTAGTGTGTACTGTGAACAAAGTTAGGTAAAATGCAAGGATCTTTGCTAAAGTTCCAACACATAAGAAATACAATACTTTCAATGAAACATTTATTAAACACACATTTTTATAATTCAGATGTATTTTAACAGGAATCATCACATTATTAATCACTGAGGACTTACCTAATACAGTTATAAAGACAGTATTACTGATCTCTCTATAATGTGACCCCTTCCAGGTACCAGAGCACTGATATTCACCACTTTGATCTGTAGAGTTAATTGTGAATGTGTAGACTTTGTATTCACTGTAGCGGACATACTCTCGACCATCCTTCTTGATTTCGTAATACCAGTCAGTCTCTCTTCCTTCATTCATGTCACACTTGAAGGTAACAAACTCTCCAATGAAATAACTGGACCAGCTCGGTTCAATAGTTAGCACAGCACCTAGAATCCAACACAAACAGACAAATAGCAATCTGAAACACTTATTTAATGCTCAAGGCAAAATATTGATTGATAACACTATATATATATTCACACAAAATGAAAATACTGTGATAAATAGAAAAAAAGAAACACAAATAGGATCTGCATTAGAGTCATACAGGTTGAGAATAATCTTTGCTAAATAAAAAGGAAGAAATAGAAAAAGTGAAAACTGTTCAGTCACCTTGAGCGTGTCCACTGCAGACGAGCGTACAGAGCACTACAATAAAGACAGAAACTTCAGACATTATCAAACTAAAGACACTCAAATGTAACATAAATAAAACACTGTTGGTAATGATGTGTCTCATTTCTTGATCATTAGTGAGTTAATGACCTTCTTAAGGAACAATCCCACCAGGGTTTAAAGTGCAGTCGCTTTCTTACCAAGCTCCTTAAAACACTGGGAGATTTTCAATGTCTGCTATGATCTGAGTCAGTGCACTAAAATCTAATCCAGTCTACAAACAAACATGATGATAACAGACATGAGTGTCCTCTGATCACATGACCTGAAATGGTACAGGCCATCCTCTTTGGGCAGCCAATGAAAGACTGGGTTCCAAAAGGGAAATGATCTCCCCAGTATTTACTTTGTATATTAGAAAAAAATCTCAAAAATTAATGCCATTGACAAATTGCAGTGAGTCACTTCTGTCAACAAGAATTTGTCTAGAAGGTGATATTTGTTGACCATTTTTGACATATTTATGTGTCATAGCAAACAACATTCATCTGAAGTTAAACCTGCCTACTGGCAGTTTTCTTTTTTAAATCTCCATTTATGGCTGGACGAGCTCTAATCTTCCTTTAGGAAGCAAGTTTCATTTAGTCAGGAGCAGGATTAGTCTAGTACTCTTTATACCTTGACTAAGGAAGAATATTTCTGCAATAAAATGCTGTTAAAATCTAGCACTGGCTTTAATCACTGCCTCTAGGCGTTTTATCATTGTCTACTATGATTGGTTACATTTTGTATTACGATTTAATCAGCATCAAATTATCACTGATGGAGAAAATAAACCTTTCTTAGATAAACTAAACCAGCTCAACTCTGATCTGAGTCAGTGCACTAAAATCTAATCCAGTCTACAAACAACCATGTTGGTAACAAACATGAGAGTCCTCTGATCACATGACTTGCAATGGTACAAATGACTGATGCTCTGTTCTTCTTACTAAAACATGTTTATGGATCAGTATGAATCAAAAAATAGGAGTCAGTGATGTACTCACAGAATAGGCCCAGCTCACAGAGCAAAGTGGCTCCCATCCTCACATCCAGCAGTGACACGTCTGAAAACTTTTACAACTTTCTGTAAAGAGAGAGAGTGAAGCAGCAGCACAGCAGATACCAAAGAGCTGTGAAGGAAACAAAGAGGTTTTAAAACTTCTCTCTGCTTCCTTCCTTTTACACAGAAATAACAACTTAACATAGTCTGACCACCACATCATGTGATACATTTATACTCTCCTGCAGAAACATATCAGGCAGATTTTTATCAGAACGGCTGTAAAATATATATATATACTGAAACTAACTAAATAATATTAGCTTGACTGAGTGCCCAAAATGAGATAGACACAAGTCAAAGACAAGCTTTAACTGTGAAGTACTTTAGTTCATTTTACAGCCCAGAAACACAACGAGAAACATTGTTCAGATTCAGATTGCTAACAAGTATCTATCAAGCATTAGATATTAAAGTAACAGGTTAGTAATACGTTTTTCCTGGTTGCTTAGAGTGCTGTCTATGGACTTTTTGTATATACTGTAATAACTCCAGACTTGGGCATTACATGCATTACGAAACTGCATTTCGTTGCCCTGTACCTGTGCATGTGCAATGACAATAAATTTGAATTCTATTCTATTAAAATTTGACTGAGGTCCGACAGAAGCAGCGACGGATATTTTGTTGCCTTTGTCTGCTGCTTGTATGCTTGGTTTGATTATTAGGAGCTTTATCACCAGTAATAATTACCCTCATAAACACTACATGTACACATCATTCATATCGTTTTAAACTGCAGTAGATGCATAAATGAAGACGACTGATTAAACACAACCAAGACAATAAACTTTTACCATTCCCTTCCTGTCACAGATGTAGTCATTGAGTTTGCTGCTGCTCCTTTACAAGGAGATGACGATACACTAAATATTGATGCACAAAATCATTACATTGCTTCAAATATACATTAAATAGATTTGAGGTGAGCCCCCATACCAGCTGATAAACAGAGATGTCATACTTACTGACAGCAAATGTTCACAGCAGATGTTGGTAATCCACACACTTTCTCACACAGCAGTGAAATCAAGAACTGACAGTAATTTTATTTTTATTTCATTAAACTAATGCAGATTCCTTTAACATATCTTTCCACTGTGGTGACATCTTAGATTGGTCATAAATTCACTCACAGAAAGTAAGCGTGCACTAGTTAAAATAGAAATGTGTCCTTAACCAGAAGTGACCGTGAGACCAGATGAAGTCCTGCCCCCTTTCTCAGCTCCTCTCTGTTTTCTTACAAGTAGTTGTAACTGCTGTATTAATAAATAATGAAAGTGCCTTTTAGCTACACTTAGTAACTAAAAAGCACACTTACACACTTAGTTACTCATTTCCATGGCTACATTTTTAGATAGCAGAGCAAAGCTGCAAACAAAGTAGCTGTTTATAGACTTGAATGTGTTTTACAGTATTAACGCTGTAAGTCAAATAAAGGAAGCAATAAGAGGAAGCAAGCAGTTCAGCAAGGCAGAGTTACCATGGAAATCTGATAACGTACAGTTATCCGATTGTTCAGTCTGACGTCACTAGCCATGTATGGGTCTAAACTCCGCTGCAGGTCCATATATCAAACGATCACTATGGCATTACTGAGAGTTGAAAAACTGTCTAAAATCTTTCATCTTTAATAAAATGATCAGCGTTCTGCACTACCAGGTGTAACAATTGAGTTTAACATCCAGGCATCCATGAAAACGGAATTTATGACATTTAACGGAGTTAGAAGTTAGCAGGGAGTTAGCTCGCTAGCTTCTATCTAAATACAATATAGCATGTCCTGACTGCGGGGTTTTGGAAACAAATTAAAAGGTACAGCTCTGTTATCACTTCCAACATAAATTAAGACAGAAAACTAAACAGCAGTGACGTTTGTAGGGTTACTGAAGTTGGGCTAGCTGGTATATAATGATGTGCTACGTGACCGCTAGCGACACAGGTATGTTAGCATAATATAAACAAGCTAACTTTTTTTCCACTCGATAAAAGTTAACGTGAGTGTTCTCGGTGGTCAGGAACAAATGTAATCGCATGGCAGGATGCTGTAAAAGGACCAAACTTCAGCCAGGAGAACAACTGAGATAATCCATCCACAATACGAGGTTAGTCATTCATATACTGCTGCATGGGCTGGGCTGTAGTTACATCCTAAGGTTTTAAAAACTGAGCTTAAATAAATGATTAGTGGTAATAAAAGCCGAGGGAGGTCAACAGTGATCACTGACTGTTTTAGGAGCTTTTTGAGATCAAATAGAAGAAAATACATAACATTAAACATGTTAACAACACAAAAGCCATATTAAACGCAGACTACTTTAGACCCGGAAGTAGGATTCGTCGCGTCATCACTGAACAACCGGATAGGTGAAACACAGTTGTGCTTCCTGCACCCTTTACTTCATAAGATGGTGGACTCCAGCTCGTATTGAGGCGATTTGCTGCTGAGTGTGAAGAGGAGGAAATGAGAATCAGCACCTCCAACTCTGAGCCATGATTGACACTGGATAATTGTTGAAGTCATAACTGTGTTTTAGGGATGAGTTCTGGCTTTATCTGGATTTATCTTCCTACCCTTGTGTGGTCACAAGCTCTGGGTAGTGACGGAGATAATGAGAAGGAAGACATTAGCTTCCTCTAAAGGTGCAGTTAGAGAACATATCTTGAGGCAAATCATAAATCATAATGTTATTTATATATTTATATGTATATATGTAGTATGTAGCTGCAGCTATAATATACTGTGTAATAATGTTTGAGTCACAGTGAACTTTCACAAAACTTCATTGCATAGATTTTATTTTTTATTATTTAAATTGAATTTTTGTAATAATAAGGTTCCACATGTCAATGTTGTCGGGGGCATTAGTCAGTGGGACACCGCTAGCAAACATGTTGCATATGTGGAGGTTCCCAGCCAGAGTTGCATGATCTCCACACTGGTAAGGCACATTCACTGTAGGTCCTCTCCCTGTACTAACTTATAAGTTTAAGTTTGGTGTTGCTTTACTAAGTGTTAGTTCTTAGAGCTAAATGTCCCCAAAGTGCTTTTGATTACTTTGAAAGGAAAAAATAGTAATTTAATCTGACTTTTATCCATTATAACACCTATTTATGTGTTTTGCACCTGTGCTAAACAGGGATGAAGAGAGGCCTGCTGCTGTGTGTTTCCCTGATTGTGCATTTTGTCTTTTAGAGTTTGTAGAGATTTTGTTTTATGTGTATAATGAGTTTGTCATCTAAAGCTGCACATTAAATAGTATTTTCAGCCATGTTGGGAAAATTTACTCTTGTATCTATAGGTTTTTTGTAATTGATCCATCTTAGTGGGGATTTAAATATTATAAGTGATTATCAGTAGTTTGTTTTTGAGTATACTTCCTCATCGTATCAGAGGTGGGTCGAGTATCCAAAGATTGTACTCAAGTAAGAGTAGCATTACTTTAAAATATTATTACTCAAATAAAGTGAAAAGTAGTTGTCAAAAAAGTTACTCAAGGAAGAGTAAAAAAGTACTTGGCGAAAAGACTACTCAAGTAGCGAGTAACTGTTTGAAATGTCCGATTTATTTTATAAATAAATGCTATCAGACAAACAGAAATAAATAAATATACAAATTTGACCATTTTCAAAAGGAATATATGTAAACAGATCAACAAAATAAGGCACAACAATTCTAATTTCCAGATTTCAGTTTTTCACAACATTAAGCTTTTTTCACCAATACCTACAGTAAATAATATAAACATATAAACAGTGCAAACAATTTCCAGTGACAAGATATGCTGTAAACTTTATATTCATTTTTGCTCCAAACGGCACAGGAGTCTCAGAGAAAACAGAACGAGGCATCTTCAACATATGTACATACAAGGCAGCTCAGTTTACCATAAATTGTATGGGTGTGCATTTATTTCTGCATATTTAGCAAAAATGTGACATTTCTTCACTCAGTGAGGTGATGGTTAAGCTTCAGCAGCAGTTTGCTCTCAAGGTTCTTTCTGTGAAGCTGTAACTGTTTAGCAGTGAACAGGAGTCCTGCATGACTGAGAAGTCCTTCACAAGCTCCAGATGCAGGAAGAGCTGTATTGACTTTGATCAACAGCTTCTTGATGTGAGGAAAGCCGTGCAATAGATCCACACCTCCAGTGAATGGACAAGAAAAGGTACCTCTCCTGCTCCCCTGCTTCTGGCTTTCCTGACCCCATGGATCCATCATCTTCGTTGAATAGGCCGCTGTTTGCGCTGGCCTCATCCATCTCTGTGTCTAGGTGATGTCTGATGAAGTTGAGACCTGTGGAAAGATGAACCAACAACCATGAAAAGAGTTGGATGGACATTGCTGCTCAATCACAGCTGCCTGGTCAATGTTTTTCATTAGTAATTTAGCAAAGTTGATGGTATGAGTGTGTGTGTCTGTGTGAGTGAGTGAAAGACACAAAGAGGGAGAGCGAGAGACAGATTTTGTATGATAAGCTTCATGTTATGGACGCACAGTTTGAGCACTCAGGTCGCATCAGAGCATCAGGCCGTATAGTGTGAGACCCTGCATCGTGACCTATGAACTTCTAACCCCTGAGATTTAATTGTACAGTTTGAGCAGGAGCTAAATAACGTTGTTGTGATATTTTGATACCATGGTAGCATTTACAGGATATTGCTTTGTAGTGAAAACTGTTACTCAATAAGGCCCATTTACTAGTTGTTTTTCTCTTTCTCTCTGACCCATGTATTGATGTGTAAGAATCACAGGCTGGTACCCCAAGGTCGAAAATACCACAGAGACGAGACCACTTCCTTACTCCCATCCTCCCTTCTTCTTTATCTCTTAGAAAAAGGCTCGTTAAAGGCCAGGTGGTTTGTTTCAGAATTCACTAATGAAAGAACTCTGTATTCTATGTCTAGGAGTGTATTTTGCTGGGATGATCATAAATTGTAGCTGAACTGATAAACTACACACAGGATACTTCTTTGCTCAGAAGGCAGGAAGACGTTTCCTTATTTGGTCTGTA